TAGCTAGAGTAAAGTTTTAAACAGTTCTGAGAGATAACACATAATTTGGAAAAAATAAGAGCGCCTAAGGCTATCATAAAGCAAGGGGAACACATAAAGAAAACTTTGCCCATTTCAAAGCTTTTTCAGTTTCAGATCAAGAGTGTAAACAATAGCCAGCCGGCCTGGCTACCAGAGAAACTGGTCAGCGACCTGCTCGCTTCCACTCGAACAGAGGACGGGGACGACAGTGTCCAAACTTATTCCAAAAAATGGCTTTCTATCCACTATAAATATTAAAGAAGCCTATCTTTTATTTCCAATTAAAAATCATTCCGTAAACACCTACGTTTTGAATTTGAGAGTGATAGTTCTGATAAAATAACATATGAATTTAACGCAATGCCCTATGGTCTTTATTTAGTTGTATAAATAAGTAGTAATTCTACACATTTGTTTGAATCGATATAACTCGTTATATAATAAGTGTATGCCTATCTTCAGTGAAATGTATCATAATGGAATACGGCAATAAAATTTGACTTAAGACGAAAGGCGAAGCCTACATTTACCTAAATCTTTAGAACACCTGAGCCAAATTGTAATATATTCATATTTATTATAATACATTTCGCGCCTAACAAGTAACACTATATTAACTCAAAAATTTGAATATTTTAATTAATAACTGATTCAGAAAGAAGATTCTTTCCCCTACAGACTGGTAAGACAGACGTATCTTTATCTGAAATACTAATGAAAACATAATGACAGAAATCTATATTGAATGTTACGATCAGTCACTAAATGAACAAGTATTATCGTCGCATTTTAATATTACTATATATTTTAAATTACGGCAGACCCTTTCTCTAAGGGAAGAGGTCGAAGTCTGAGGCAGGACTGTTAAAGGCTTATAAAAAAAAACGTAAATTTTCTATAGTTTTGTCTCAGCAAAAGCCGATGATGAAAATCAGTCAATCGTGCCAATATCCGTTTTATTTAATTATAAAAATACACAAAGAAAACTGCTGAAAATAGGCCTCCTCCATAAATCGCCTCATTGGGCGGGTTATTTGCTATAATTGCCACGTTTGTTAGGTAATTGTTATCAAAAAGATGCTGTAGCCACTACATTATCATAAAACAATCTATGGAAAAGCCTATTTTCAGTGGTGGACTTTTTACGACTGCACGGATAATAGTGATATACTTGATCACTTAGTTTTTTCAGCGGACTTCAAAAAAAATTGGAACCAATCAATTCAACTGTTGTTTTTTTTATAAAGGTATGTTTATTATTAAATATATTATAATTGTAGGGTTACAAAAATAGTTGTTGTAAAATACAACAACTTTTATCGGATGTAAGTACATACAAAAAGGTCAAAATAGACCCTACAACTAATACACTTAAAACAACTACTGATTTAATAAAGAAATACTCCGAAAAATAGATCTCGACGTGAATTGGACAATACCATCATGTGCCATACCACCGAGGTTGTATGGGTTACCGAAAATACACCAACCAAACGCTCCACTACGTCCTATAGTAAGCCAGATCGATTCACCAACTTATAAGTTGGCTCAACACTTGGAAAAAACATTTTCACCACTGAGAGGACACACCAGAGCACACACAAAGGATTTATACCATTTTGTTAGTGAGATAAAAGACCTATATTTCGCTGACAATGAAACTATGGTTAGTATTGATGTTCAGTCACTATTCACAAGCCTACCAATTGAAGAATGCATCTCAATTGTAAACATAAAGCTAGAAGATAACAAAATGCCCACAGAATTTCTTTAGCTTTCCTAGATAGGAAAGCTAAAGAATTTAAAAGAGAAACTAAACCATCTGTTTTAGTCATCCGAAATCCTGATAACAATATTGGTCATACTGTTTACAGGAAAAAGACCCATACCAACCGATATTTAAATGGTGATTCGCACCATCATCCATCACAGTTATCTACCGTGGAAAAATCTTTGTTTCAGAGAGCAAGAGGGATTTGTGACAGAAAACATCTGGCCGCCGAGATTCAGCACGTCGAGCAAGTATTGCAAGACAACAAGCTTCGGGTCCCGCGCCTACGTCACAGTGATCGAGTGAAGCTGGCCACAGTCCAGCGTGTGCCTGCTGTACTACCCTATGTCAGGGGAGTCACAAACAAGGTTGGCTACATCTTGAAGCGAGCTTCCATTAAAACATACTTCAAGCCGCTGAAGAAGATTGGTCAATTTTTACCATCCGTCAACTGTCATATCCCTCTACAAGATGCAGCAGTGTACAAGCTGGATTGTGAATGTGGTCTCTCTTACACAGGAAAAACAAAAATATCTATAAAACCCGCGTTAAAGAAGATATAGCTGACGTGAAGCACCAACGTATCGGGAAGTCTGCAGTTTGTGAACATATTCAAGATCGCCCCCGCCATTACATTAGATTTGATAGACCACAAATCCTCGTAAAAGAACACCAATTCCTACCAAGGATGATTCGCGAGGCTATTGAAATTATAAAACATCCTAATTTTAATAGAAAAGATGGATAGGTGCTGCTGTCTGCTTGGGATCCTATAACTAACTAGCTGTGCCCCGCGGTTTCACCCGCGTCATCACGTGTCGGAGGTGCGCGACATGACCTAGTTCAAACATTTTATAATTGCAATTAAATATTTTATTTGATAGCAATGTATGGAAAAATTGGCATAATTAATGGAGTACTTTTATCTGTCGGCATATTATGTATGATGTAGAGCGAAGTTAAGTGTTATCCACTTTCCTCCCCCCTCCCCCCACCCCACGTCCCAGAAAGTGTCCCGAAGCGCGGTTTTTTTCAGTTTTAAAGAAAACCGTACACGATACATGAAAAATGTGTAGGCATGAAATGATTCTTGAGCCATCAAACTTTTATACTTATTAATCAATAAAATTTTCAAAATACCATAGCAATTTGAAATGAAAGAGTTCAGAAATAAAGATGTAACTAATCATTGTCATAAAAGTACTCAATTAACTTTTAATTTATTTTAGCTATAATGATTGAACTAAACTCGCTTCAGTTCTCACCGGGCGGCTAGGGTTTATGCGTCGTTCGCGCGCCCAGCCAAGTATTGAATTATTTTAATTTTACATTATCTCTTAAACTATGCGTCCAAATAACATGGTATACAGAAAAAAGTTTATCTTCATAAAATTGTCTTGATGATGAAGTAACTTTCGTTCGTAAGGATAAATAGGCTATGCCTAATAATAACGCACATATATCACTTTTTAATTTTCAATATTTTTTTGTTACACAATACCTAATTATGGCTTATGTATAAGAAATCGACATATGGTATCGCGGACTTTTTTTAGACGGAGTAAAGATCTATGTTTTTCTAGAACATTGTATTTACGTATCCCTAACGATAACACCAGCGTACGTGGATAAATAATTTCGGGAGTGCCTTTTCTTCTGACTTGCTTAACAAATATCCATATTTAAGGCTTGCTGAGTGATATAGCTTAATGCTAGATAGCCTCTACTATTCCACACGAATCAGGCTATAATATAAAAAAATAATTTTTCAAATCGGACTGGTAGTTCCAGAGATTAGCGCGTTTAAGCAAATAAAAAAACAAAAAAACTCTTCCGCTTTATTATATTAGTATAGATAAAATTAAATCCAAACCCAAGTATACCACTGCTAGACTTCAAGATACTGTATGCTCATTCTGCGTAAATCGAACCAAAAGTTAATATTAAAAAACTGAAGGTAGCCGGGCCAACTATGACATCGGGACGTGAAACACTTTAGTCCCCCCCCCCGTGACCATGGGTGCTGTAAAGCACCTGAAACGTCGGGAATTAAAATGTTAAAACTAAATAATGCGATATAATCCGTAAAAATTAGTTTCATTTAATGTGTAGTCTTCGCGTAAATATAAGAAAAGATAAGTGACTTTTTTCAAAAGGCACCTCTCGTAACTAAAAGTAATTTTTTTACTTTATATTTTTTACTTTATATTTCTTCTTTTATATTGATACTAGAAGTATTAAAATATAATACTGACATTAGTTTGAATAAAACCACTAGGCTGGGTTTTAATGACGCACAATCTCATACTTTTTACTTTTGTTTGCCACTGCTAAAAATATAATAATATTATTATTATCATCATTATTACAGCCCTTCACAGGTCATCTGCTGAACATATGCCTCTCTCAAGGAATGCCACAAAGCACCTTCCTGAGCCACCTGCATCCATCGACTTACTGCATGTCTTACCAGGTCATCAGTCTATCCAGTGGGGAGCTGTCCCTCACTTCGCCTACCGGCACGAGGCTGACTCGAAAACTTTCTTCCACATCGGTTGTCACATACCACTACTACTTCAGATTACTAATCCGTTACCCTATGTCGGTTAAACTGGTTCTACTGTAGATATCCTCTTCTCTAAGTCTATCATGCAGAGAAAAGCCTCCGTAGCTTGCTGAGCGACCTTGACCTTCCTCAGTAATATTATATTACTTGTTAACTAAGTTCGTAAATTTGAATAAAAATCTCTTCTCTAGAGTCTCTAAATTTTTGAACTAGCACAGCACTACTTGCCGAAATGGCTTACGATGGGATAATTTAATAAAACACTCCACAACGTATGTACTTATGATATATTAACACGTAGATATATATACAAAATAAATTATATTCTTGTGGCCTATGATCTAATTGATTTACACGTCAACATCGCGATTTACCTTTTGTACAGCGCCCTCAAGTATCGAATAGGTGAACTACCATACCTTAACATACCGCCCACCAAGGACAATATTGAAAATATAATTGTCCTTCATCATGGGAAACCGCCCACCGTGAACTCGCGCCTTTATTGTCCTTAGTGAGTGTTGTTTACAATTTTGTTCTGAAATAATAAATACAACAATTAAATCTTAGAAATACAAATATAGTATACAATAATAACAATAACAATTTGGTTTAACAATAATAAAAAAAAATACTTTCTGACTAAGTACTAATAGGTAATACACAGATCTTAGAGGTAGGTCTTTTAACTATTGATGATTTGGTTCGTAATATAACTATTCGGGTTATTTGATCAGGACCAGGATGTTTTTCGATAATCCGACCAAGTAACCAACGACATGGTGGTAAATCGTTCTCCTTAACTAACACTACATCCCCGATATTAGATTCTGGAACTTGGTAAGTCCATTTATATCTATGTAACAAGTTTGACAAGTATTCTTGTGAACACCGACGCCAGAAATTCTGTGTCATTTTTTGGACAAGTTGCCACCGAGTTAGTGAACTTATATATGTATGTTCGTAATTATCGTCTGGAATACTTATTAGTGGTTCGCCTATTAAGAAGTGACCAGGAGTTAGAGGCATAGGATCAGATAAATCATCATTAATAATTGTCATTGGTCTGGAGTTCAGACAAGCCTCTATCTGATAGAGCAGCGTGATAATCTCCTCAAAGATTAAGGTTGAATCTCCAATCACTCTTTTCAAGTGGTGCTTTGCAGATTTGACCGCAGCTTCCCACAAACCTCCGAAATGTGGTGCATGAGGTGGTATAAAGTGCCATTGGGTCCCCTCAGCTTCAACCTGTTCAGCAACCGATTGCTGAATTGACTTAAGTTCATTCAATTCTCGAGCAGCTCCCACAAAGTTGGTGCCATTGTCACTCCAAATTTGAGAACAATATCCACGTCTCGAAACGAATCGTCTGAAAGCTGATAAAAAACCTTGTGTGCTCAAATCACTGACAGCTTCTAAATGTATGGCGCGCGTCACCATACAGACAAATACACAAATGTAACCTTTATAAGCGTGGTGACCACGACACTTTGATGTTCTTATATTTATTGGACCAGCATAATCCACGCCGCTGTGTAAAAAGGGTCGTGCAGGAGTACATCTGACAGCTGGAAGAGATCTCATGAATTGGTGTCTTACTTTAGCAGCATATTTGATGCATATCACGCATTTTTGCTTATGTTGCTTAACTAGGTTTTTCACGCCTATAATCCAATAGATTGATCTTAGGTAATTTACCATTGATTGTGGGCCACCATGCTAGGTTATTTCATGAGCATTAGACACAAGTAATTTAATTAGGTAACAAGACTGAGACAACAGTATAGGATGTTTGATTTGTTCCGTTAGTGACGATTCGTGTAATCTGCCACCTGCTCTTATTATACCGATATTATCTATATACGGACACAGGGTTCTGATTTTACTATCTTTTCTCTTTATGCAACCCTTTTCTTTCAACTGTAAATATTCTTCTGAAAAATCTTCCATTTGAAAATGCTTTATGCAACATGTTAATGCTTCATCTAATTCTATCTTTTGTAAATATTTCTACTTCTTTTCTTTTATTTTTAAAAATCTTCAACAATATGCAACAATTCTTAACAATTTTTTCAATGAAGAAAATTTGTGCCACGGAAAATCTTGTGGTATAGCACTAATATGTACCTTTATACGCTTTTCTATATTAGTGTCCACATCCCTTGGTCTGTGATATCTAATTTGCTTATCCATAAGAAAACTTGGTCCTGAAAACCACAATTTGCTTTCAGTCAGTTTAGTGGAAACGTGAGCCCATTGTGACGCATCCAGAGTACTAAGAATTTCGGACACTCGATTGCCCACAAAAGTTTTCCACTTACTTGGGTGACGGTTCAACCAAGACAACACTACGGTGGAATCTGTCCACGCTCTAACATTCTCTCTGGGAATGTGCATTGCTTCTGCTACTTCTGCCAACAGACGAGTCAACAACACAGAACCACATAATTCTAACCGAGGGATGCTTACTTGTTTTATTGGTGCTACTTTGGTTCTCGCCATCAAAAGAGCAACGTGAATATCGCATTTTGCATCGATGGATCTGGTATAAACCACAGCTGAGTATGCGGTTGCTGAAGCATCACTGAATCCATGGAGCTTGACTCTTCTATCAGTTTGTCTGATTTGAAGCCATCTTGGAATACGAACTTCTGTAAGTTTTGATAACACATTACGGTAAGTTCTCCATTCATTTATTAGATCTTCAAGAACCTTTTCATCCCATCCTACACCTGAAAGCCATAGCTTTTGTATAAATACCTTTGTTAGTATAACGGTAGGTGCTAGCCAACCCAAGGGGTCAAATAGGCGAGCAATTTCTGATATTATGTTACGTTTAGTTTAGGTCCCGGTGTGGGTGCGAGCTGTACTGAATATTTGGAAACGTCGTTACTGCGGTTCCAAGTAAGTCCTAAAATTTTAGTTATATCTAGTTTAATATTATTTTCTTCGTAGGTTTTATTTTATAGACTGTTCTCTACAATGGTTTCAGGTAAGTTCTTGTTATTTGCTCTTTCGCTTTTTTTTCTTCCGCTTCCTGCGTATTCATTACTCTAAGTAATTCTTGACTATTGCTATTCCATTTCTGTAGTTCAAAACCTCCCTTATTTAACAAATTCTTCATCTGTCTATATAATTCTTTACCATCTTCGACTGTAGAGCACCCAGTCATTAGATCGTCCATATAGAAAGATTCCCGAACTCTATTTGCTGCTAAGGGATAAGTTTCTGCTTCATCGATAGCGACTTGATTCAGCGCCTTTACATTCAAATAGGGTGCTAATGCAGTCCCGAACGTTACGGTGGTTAATTCATAATCTTGTATTTGCTTGTCCGAGCCCTCTCTCCAGACTATCCTTTGAAACTTGGCATCATTTTCGGTAACCCTTACTTGACGATACATTTTTATAATGTCAGCTACTACTCTAATGGGATATACTCTCCAACGTAGTATAATATGGCGCAAGTCGGATTGTAAGGTTGGTCCTACCATAAGCGTATCATTCAAAGAAACACCGTTCTCATTTTTACAGGACGCATCGAAAACTATCCGACCCTTGGTTGTGAGTTTGTCCTCTCTTACCACAGCGTGATGGGGTAAGTACACAGTTTCATTTTCTTTCTTTTCTTCGCTTACAGGTCTCATGTGGTTTAGATGTAAATATTCCTTTAAAACCTTTGTGTATTTTTCTGTTAGGTCCTAATTTTTTTCTAATTTTCTTTCCATAGATAGTAATCTTTTTACAGCGATATTACATGAGTTGCCACCTTTACATGCCGGCTCTTTATCTTTGAATGGCAGTTTGACCACATTTCTGGCGTCAGATGTTCGAGTGGTAGTAGCTGCAAAAAGATCTTCGCACTTTTGTTCTTCTACTGAAAATATTTTCTCACTTGGTGGAAATTGTTCTTCTAACTCCCAAAATTTCTTGAGTATGTCGTTTTGATTTACTTGTACGTCACTGATATTTTTTGTGTACTATTATTTAATTTTGTTCGTTCTACAACACCAGAAAGAATATAACCAAGAGTTGTGCACTGTGCTATAAGATGTCCTGTAGGCGCCTTTTTTACACCGTCCTTTATAATTTTACCATAGACATCAGCTCCCAATAATAGGTCAATCTTATTAGGAGTTGCGAAATCTGGATCAGGCAGTTTCAAATCCCTCAAATCCACCCAATTTGTTAACTCTATTCTTTTGTCTGTTTTTGAGAGTCATTACGAATCGTCTTGCGCGCAGACTTGACGACTTCCAGCCTCCCGAACAAGCCGGTTTCCGAAAAGGCTTTAGTACCATAGACCACATACATACCATTCGGCAAATTTTACAGAAGTCAGAGGAGTACAATTTGCCACTATGTCTGGCGTATGTGGACTATGAGGAAGCCTTTGATTCCGTCGAAATTTGGGCGGTGCTTCAGTCCCTTCAGCGGTGCCAAGTTGACTGTCGGTATATCGAAGTGCTAAAATGCTTGTACAGTAGGGCTACGATGGCTATCCGAGTAAAGGACCAGAGTACGAAACCTATCCAATTGCAGAGAGGTGTAAGACAGAGTGACGTCATATCCCCGAAACTCTTCACCACTGATCACTCACCTTCGATTTGCCGACGATATAGTCCTTATGGCAGTATCGCTGGAGGATCTAAGCACTATGCTCAATGACCTCAATAGTGTTTCCCAACGGATAGGTCTTAAGATGAACATGGACAAAACAAAGATCATGTTTAATGTCCATGTCACACCTATGCCGGTAGTTGTTGGGAGCACTAAGCTCGAAGTTGTTGATGAGTATATTTACCTGGGTCAAATAGTCCGACTAGGTAAGTCCAACTTCGACCGAGAGGTTAATCGACGGATTCAACTCGGTTGGGCAGCGTTCGGGAAATTACGGCTCATGTTCTCGTCAGGTATACCTCAAAACTTGAAAACGAGACTGTACTACCAGTGCGTGTTGCCAGTGATGACATACGGAACTGAGACTTGGTTCTTCACTGCTGGCCGGATGAGAAAGCTCAAGGTCGCTCAGCGAGCTATGGAGAGGCTATTCTCGGAGTTTTTCTGCGTGATAAGCTCAGAAATGAGGATATCCGCAGTAGAGCCAGAGTGAACGACAGAGCCCAAGGGATTAGTAAGCTGAAGTGGCAATGGGCCGGCCATATAGCTCGAAGAACCGACAACCGATGGGGAAAAAAGGTTCTCGAGTGGCAGCCTCGTACTGGCAGGCGAAGTGTTGGGCGTCCCCCCACTAGATGGAGTGACGACCTAGTAAGATATGCAGGAAGTCGATGGATGCAGGTGGCTCAGGACCGTGCTTTGTGGCATTCCTTGGGGGAGGCATATGTTCAGCAGTGGGCTTGTGAAGGGCTGTAATGATGATGATGATGATGATGATGATTCTTTTGTCTGGAAGGTAAGACGTTATAATCTTTAGGACATAGGCCTTAACCTTAAGTTTGATTTTGATTAACTATGTACATTGAGACTATATCTCTGTCGGCATCCAGTCCGGTTACCGTGCTCTTTACTGGAGTACGCTTTAAGCGTAAGTACTGAACTGTAGCTTCAGTTATAAATGAAGCTTGGGAACCTTGATCAACCAAGGCCCGCACTACTTGAAAGTTTCCTGTGGTAGACTTGACCCTTATGAGCGCTGTGGCTAATAAAACTTGTCTAAACTCCATGACGTTTCCAGAAGAAAGGCAGCTAACAATAGCTGTTTTATCACAATCGACATCCGAACTTTTAACAGGTGTACTAGCTCTATTTCCCTGGTCACCACTGTTGGTAGCCTTATCGCTAGTGGGATGTAACAAAGAATGATGTCTTTTCTTACAAACTCTACAATTAGTTGGGTTTTGGCACTGGTTAATTGAATGGTTAACACCTAAACAATTAAAGCAAATATTATTACTTAAAACGAAATTGTACGTTTGCTCATAAGGAAGCTGTAGGAACTTTTTACAAAAACATAGTTTGTATACTTCTGCTTCTTTGTGTACAACAAGCTTTAACACCCACGAAATTATGCTGTTTATATGCGACCAATGCTTTTATAGAAAGTGGAGTATGTTAATTATTGTGAAGTAATCCTTTTTTAGGTTCAATACACTCTAATGCTTTAAAACGACTTTCTAGAAAAACTTTAAATTGTGTAGGCAAATCGTTTGGACTATCACTACTAGTTTGTAATTCCCACTCTTTACGCGTTTCTGGGTCCAATTTAAATGTCATAACATGAATAATAATTAAGTCCCAAGTACTAACATTAATATCTAAATTTTTTAAAGAATGAAGACAATCATTTGTTGTATCCAACAAATCTTTCAAATCGTTAGAAGATTCTATGTTCATACGTTTTTGAGCGAAAAGGCGTTTAAGAATACAATTTGCAAGATACTTTTTATTGTCGTATCTACGTTCTAACTGTTCCCAACATTGATTTTAATTCGCATCAGACACTGGTACTTGTGGTACTTGTCTGACAAGTTGCTCAGCTTCACCCGTGAGATGTCCTTTTAAATAGTGCATCTGTAATACATTATCAAAAGAACTGTTTTTGTGAACTATACTATATATATA